ACTACTACTATCGTTTCTATAGGATAATATAAATATATTTATCCTTTAAGGTAGTAACTAATAAAAGGATTAGTACTTAATCGTTTAGCGTTAACTTATCGGTACTAATATAAAAATAAGTAATTATCTTTTCGGTGCCCCTTATATATATTATATAGAGCGGTACTAACTATACTCTATACTCCCTTACCTTACTATTATTAAGCCTTAATAACTTAGGGTATAATAGCGCTACTTATAGTAATCCTTACTATTAAGTAAAGTATACGTCTATAAGGTTAACGGTACTATAAGTATCTAAGTATATAGGGACTTTAATAGGGTTTCGCCTTAATATCGTTATAAGAGTTTTACCTAACTATCCTATAGGTATTAAGTTTACTAAGAGAGAGGCGTTTACCCCAATATCTTACCTTTTCCCTATTTTATAGTATTAAGTCTAAGAGTCTTTACTAGGGTTTTTACCTTTAGAGAATTAGTATATTCTATAGATAGGTATCCCGGCTTATTATATTAGAAATATATAATTCCTAATTAAGTAAAAGATCCTCTTCCTTAATAACGTCCCTTAGTTTAGCCCTTAGTAAGTATATCGCTAGCTTACTAATTATCGGTCGAATTAATAGTATTTCCTTAACGATTTAGCCTAGCTTATCGGCCTCTTTAATTCCTTCCCCTATATATACCGCCTTAAGGTATAGCACTACTTTTATTCCTAGTTCCTTTAAGGGTAGAAGTAGTATTAATACGTCGCCTCTTATTAGTAGTAGTATCCTAATATCGTTAGGCGACTTATATAAGCTCTTCCTATTAGTAGGTATAGATAGGTATTAAATAAAGGTTAATTTAGTCCTAAAGTTATAGCTCTAGCTTAGCGAAAAACGTAAGAGTACGCGCCTTTTTTAATAGGTATTCGAAATACCTCTTTAAGGAGTTAAGGTATAAGCTAAACTTTAAGGGGGACTAGCCTTCTTATTAATAAGCCTCCTTTAATTACGTCGCTAATAGTATCTCCTTATTTATAGTATCCTTAATTAAGATAAGTATCTATTCCTTAAAGTATACTTAATCTATACTATATTTAGTTCGGTTAATCGGCGTTTATTCTTTAAGGTATCGGCGCTATCTCGCTTTATAGTCGCTATATATATAATCTACCGCGTAGAGGATCTTCGTTTTATCGCGACGAAAGTATCTAGGCGCTACCCTAAAGGCGTCCTTTAGATCGTAAGTTTAGTCTAGACGTTTCTATATATTAGTAGGTTAGGATAATTAAGCGATATTTTTAATCTTAACCTTACTACCGCGACTGCCGTCCGATTTAAGGGAGTAGGACTATCGACGCTTCCCTAAACGGATAGCGATAGCACTAGCGCGTTTAGCAATTTCCTCCTCTAATTATATAACGCGATCTTATAGGCGTTTCGTCTCCTCTAGCTCTTTAACGCGCGCTTATAGGGCTATAAGCTTTTCCTTACGAGATAGTTATCTTACGCTTATAGGTAGCGATATCTTTAATATAGTTATAACGCCGTCTATAGTAGGGGTCTATTCCGAGGATATATCTTCCTATTCTTTATCTCCTAAGTAGATACTTAATATACGTAACGAAGAGGCCTTAACTAGTTAACTATTACGTCGCGCTATAGGAGCGTTATATAGTCTTCTCTAAGTAGCTATCTCTACTAGGTAACTAAAAAGGGAAGCTTTAAAAATTATAAGGGAATATATATTACGGTACGATTAGTTAGGTAGTAGAGATAGCTAGAGGTACTACGCTATATATATTATATTCTCCTCGTTATAAGATTAAAGCTTATAAGAAGAGGGATTTCTCCTCTTTAGTTAGAGTAGCGAGTAGTCTATAATATATAAGCGGGGTAGGCATAATTCCCTGCCGATACCCTGCTAATATATTAGTACTACGTACCTAAGTGCTTTATTAGCCCGTACCTCTTAGTAGCGCTCTTATACCTTAGAAATCTATATAACTTTACTATAATTCCTTATTAAAGTAACTCCCGCTTAAATACTATAAGAGACTAATATATACGTTAGTTAATTCTTTTACCCTAGGCATTTATTATAGGATACCCTATAGTCGATAATCTAGGTACCTATAATAGTATCTACTTCCTTTAGAGAAGTTACCTTTAACTCCTTAAGGACCTTATAAAAAATAAACTTAGAAGCTACTAAGTAAACTCTAGGAAATAACCTAGAAATCCTAGAAATAATAACCTAGTAGATTATATAGATATTTTATAGAGATTTCCCTTATAGATATAGTATATAGGGAATATACTATAATTTCCTAAGTAATAATAGCTCCTTAAGGATTATAGTAATATTTCCTTAAGAAGTTACTATAAGGTTATAATAGGGAAATTATAGGGAAATACCTATACCTACCTAGGGAAAATACTAGGAAATACCGCTAATATACTATACTAACGTTATATAATTATAAGGTTAAGATATTACTTAGTTAATGCCTTAAGTAAGGTCTTATACTCGCTATAGTATATATAAAAGATAGAGAACCTATTAGATCTTAAGCGGGTAGAAAAGGATATAGATAGTTATTACTACTCTTATTTTAACTTATAAGACCGGTAGCTAGTCTATATTTTATACGCGTATTAACGTATAGTAGCTAGTCTATATAATACGTTTAAGTATATCCTATAGCTAGTCTATTTAGTTACTTATTAGACCTATACTAGATCTAGGTAGACGGTAAGGTTAAGTACCGGCCCCGTACTAAGGGACTAGTATATAATAGTAAAGCCTTTCCTACTATAAGAACCCCTTTATAATTTATTAAAGGAAGAGCTCTTAGTATTAAAGAAGACCTTAAGCGAGTTAATAAAAATAAACCTAATCTACTTAAGTAGCTCCTTAGCTATAGCCTTAGTACTCTTTACTTAAAAGTTAAATAGCTAGCTATAATTTTACTATAATTACTAAGCCCTAAACGTAATTATAAAGAAAGACTAATACGCGCTACCTTTAATTATAGAGATACTATAAACGCTTATAAAGGTAAAGTAGCTTATAAAGCTTAATACTATAGTAGTATTCTAAATAATTTAAAGACTATTAGCACTGCGGCAAGAAACGCAGTGAATTAAACCAAGATCGCAATAGACTAACAAGCTCAGCTGGATTCATCGACGGCCACGAACACCCCGATGGCCAGGTTTCTAGTAGCTATGGGCATCGGTATTATTTGATAAGGAGCGCGGCATTGATAGCTGCAAACATGGCCGAGCGCTAGTTTCGATGGCAAATTCAAGGGGCAAGCCAACAGAGCCCAGAAATGTGCTTTCAACCGCTGAGGGCTGACATCGCAGTCACTTTGGTCGACTACATGGTCCGGAAGACGATATCTCGCTTGACACATGCTAGCAACTTCTCTCCCTTGTTTAGTGTTCTGTCTGTTTGTGCGTCCGTATACAGCCGCGGGGAAAGGCACTAAATATCGGTAGGGAAACAGGTCCTAACCGGCATCGCTCTCTTTTCCTCGTCTCCACTTCCTCTCTCCCACCCTCTCCGCTACATCTCTCTAAAAGCCGCGGCCACAGCTAGATAAGACAAAATAAAGAGAAGAAGTAAGAAGTAAGATACTCCAAGGCACTTTTGCCTAAGAGGCAAAATTATGTCTCATCCCTAGGTGGCAGGCAGCTTTCTCTGCTTTCTACCTTGTCGTCTTCTCTATTCCTTGCACTTGCATGTGTGCTTATGAATTAGACTCGGACTTGGGCTTTTTATCTATAAAGCTGATCCGAGCGGGCCTGTGGGCTCGGTTTCGATCGGGCTGAGCCTCTTCTAGCACCTCACCAGCCGGCGAAGTCCTTTCTACTCATCATCGTAGTGACCGCTAACGTTTTATCGGTTTTGCTGATTTACTCCAAGTTGCCAGGGCCTGGTGAGGGCGCTCCCTCATGGACTTGCTGATTTTGATATTGAGTATACGACCTATGAATTGCTGACTCTAAAGTACCCAGTTAGACGATAAGATTGAACGAAATATCAACTTAAAGGACGCATTTATAAAATTTACATAAAACCGAGCAGGCCGTTTAGGCTGTGCCACACTAGAGCGTGAAACGGAACAGGTTGTGCTGAAAATCCACTCCCACACTAACATCTTACCCTTAGAAAAGCGGCGCTGCTCGACGAAGACTGGTTTTGCCTAACGCGCAATGGACAAGCACAAGGCAGCTGTGGAAACGAAACCATGCGGGAAGCGCCGCTGTATGTGTTGGGCGGCCTCCAGATACAGCGGCTGTCTGCCTTTTTAAACTTTAGCACCTGTAGCAGGCTAGTCTTAGTTGCGCAGTCAACTAATCCAAGCTGGGTATCAGGACGGCACAAATCTGAGCTGGGAGTTCAAGATCTCTCGCTCTTTCCGGCTTGTTTCTCCTTTCTTCCCTTCATGTGGTTTGAGGAAACTAGTAGCAGTCGCCAACTTTGAACTCGGTATGGACTACGACTTTAACAAGCATCCTATGGGTGAAGACAGATAAAAATAGCGAAAAGAATAAACAGTAGATGAACTGCCGGAGAGCTGTTGCTTTTATCTGGATCGAGGTAATTAAAGGCAGAAGTCAAGTGTCTATTTTAGCCGCCCCCGCGACTAAGTCGTGGTCGCCCTAGCAGGGTGTTAGGGTCAAAGGGGGAAGTTTCGGTCAAGTCGATCCGGAGTTTCCATTGAAGTCTTTTGCCTGAATGGAGCTAGCCTTGCACTTCGGTCTGTAACACCGCCCTCAGACGAGTGTTATGCCAGTGGACAATCCCCCTTGTAGTGGTGAAATTCCCACTATAAAGACTTTTGAGGCCGGTGGACAGCTAGGGACTGAACATTTTCCAGTTTTTTAAGTATTTAGGGAGGCTTAATCGTTGTCGTGCAGGCCGATCCCTTCATCGCGTCCCTTTTATCCCTTCCCATGCATCTCTGTTATCCCATTCATTCCTTTAGGGGAAGGTCAGCCTAGATGGAAAACATCAATTCCTTTGCAGTGGAATCGTGGACATACTCTATTCTCAGCACTGTCTTGATTATTGGTAGGATCGCTCTGCGATGGAGGACCCAGTCGTTTTCCGGCTTGTCCGGCGACGACTTTCTCATGGCTGCTGCAATCGTAGGCCGCCGCCCCCTCCCTCCGGGCAACGCCCCGGATAACAATTAATTTTCGCTCTCACACTTACATGGCACAAACAGCCGCTTTCCATGGCCGGAACCGCGGCGTCGTACATTATCGAAGCAGAAATGCACGGCTTGGCGAATAACGGGTACGAGACCTCAGGCGCGGCTGTCAATAAAGCCATGTGCAACTCGGGATACTAAATCAACATACAGCCTGACTCCCGAGCAACGCAATGCCCTAGATCCGGACAGCGACGAGTGGCGCTTAAGGGTCAAGGGCTCCCAGACCCATCTCGCCGGCTGGCTTCTCTATACGTCCCTGCTCTGGATACTCAAGCTGTGCTGGCTCTTCTACTATAGACGACTCGGTGATCGTGTAGATCGCATGACTCTCAAGGTTACTCTCGGATTTTCATTTTGCGCCGTTACCTTCCTTGCGGTCTTGTTTACCATCCTATTTGGCTGCTGGCCCGTTTCAAAGCACTGGCAAATCAACCCCGATCCTGGGAGTATGCCGCCGCGTCTGAACTCTATGTAACTATTAGCGGGAAGATCGCTAACGCATGTTGACCTAGACTTCTGCTATCCGGCTATATCCGAACTCCAGGCGTGGACCGTGGTATGCACTAACCTAACGACCGACTTATACATCATGACGATCCCCATCCCAGTAAGTGCAACTGTTTCTAGGCCAAGCTGGTAGCTCTAACGGATGACGGTAGATGATTTGGCGTGCTCGCATCTCGATGATGAAGAAATTCGGTCTCGGCACCATGTTCTGTGGTGGACTCATCACTATCGCTTTCGGCGCCGCCCGATGTAGCCTGATTCTACAGGACGACTCTAAATCTGGAGAATCTGCCGCACGGTGGTCGGACCGTGAGACCTTTGTTGCCATCATCCTCACCAACGTCCCCGTTCTCTTTCCGCTTATACGTCAATATTTCCGGCATACTAAGAACGTCTCTTACCGTGGCTATAACGGCACCAACGGCGATTCAATCCGGTCCCGCAGCAAAGGCGGTGTCGTCTTAGAGCTCCCAACGTTATCTGGGGAGAGCGCCGCGACCGCGAGAAATAAGCCAAAGAGCCAGAAAAGCCTACCCACCTTTACGCGGTATGGGCATAATGAGTCAGAGGAAGCAATCATCGGGATCCCAGCCCACGCGACGTAATCTGTCAAGTTAAGGTCAGCAGTATGGCCATCTACTAAGCTGTAGGCAGCATTGTCTCTATTAATTTAGTAAGAGCTAATTATTCCCGCTTTCGTATGCTATCAAGCGTCGTCCACTGTTTGGTCTGCTGAGGACAGGTTGTCGAGCGTTATTAGGCAGTCTCATATATCTATATCTCTCGCGAAGAGAGATGCGAGAAGTACATATAAAATACACGAAGGTGAAATTAGAAGTAAGGGGTCGGATAGGCAGGGCAGAGATGTTTGATTCTTGCGGGGGCAGCAATTGCGGAAGGGGAGTGATTATTATATTGCCTTAATTATTATTCTTTCCTCTATCTAACGCCCCTCTTTATACCTATCTAGCATCTTAATTTAATAAAGAAGATCCTACTTAAAGAAGCTATTAATATCCTCTTAACTACCGAGCTTTTTACTGGTTTTTCCCCTCCTTTCTAGCCGTTACTAGCATATCCGTCTTATCTCTCGCTACCTCTATAAGAAGCTATCGCTACTTTTACTTCCCCTCTTACCCCTACCCTCCTCTCTATACCTCCTTTTAGCTCCTTCTTTTAAACCGGTTTTTTAGCTTGCTTAGTCCCTCTTACTAAGGGATATCTCTAAGAACTACGAAATTAGGCTACGCTTCGCGGTATACCCCCTTAGCTATAGCCTGCCCTTATAGAAAGGGTAAAGCTAAATAATTAGGCCGGTAAGCGTATAGAGGAGGTCTTAGTCTATACTTATCCCTTACTCGAGAAATCCGGGTTTTAGCCCTAGGCTCTTTTAGACCTACTTTAGGAAAAGGGGCCTAAGGAGGAATTAAGTCTTATAAGAAAGGGGGTCTTCTCTAAGGATAAGTCCTTAAAAAGGGGGCCCTTAAGAAGAGTAAGTCCTAATTAAGCTAGGGGCCCTCTTTTAGGATAAGTCTTAGTTCCTCTCTTTAGCTATAGATGTCGCGAAGCGTGGCCTGATTTCGTAGTTCTCGGAGATATCCCTTAGCAAGAGGGACCAAGGAAGCTAAAAACACCCGGTGTAGAAGAAGGAAGAAGGAGCTAAAAAGAGGTGCAGAAAGGAGGGTAGGGGCATAAGGGGAAGTATAAGTAGCGAGAGATAAGACGGATGTGCCGGCAACGGCTAGAAAGGAGGGGAAAAACCGGCAAAAAGCTCGGTAGTTAAAAGGATATTAGTAGCTTCTTTAAGCAGGATCTTCTTTATTAATTGAGATACTAGACGGGTATAAAGAGGGGCGTTAAATAGAGGAAAGAAGGTTAATTAAGGCAATATAACAATTACTCCCCTACCTTTATTGCTACCCCCGTAAGAATCAAATCTCTCTGCCCTGCCTATCCGACCCCTTACTTCTAATTTTACCTTCGTGCATTTTTATGTACTTCTCGTATCTCTCTTTACGAGAATAGACGTCTCCTTCCTTATATATATTATTAGCTCCTATTAAAAACTCTTAAGGCGGGATTTTAAGGATAGCTTCTCTTAAACGTCTTCTAGCTTAATTTACTATAAAAATATAGCTAGCTTCTACTTTAATAAGGGCTTTATAAGACTATTAGCTCTTATTATTACCGTTAAAACTAAATAGATAGAAATAAGTCCCTTTTAGACTTCTTAGTATAACTAATACTAGTAGATATTAATATATTATAGCTAGGTTAATAGCTTACTATTTTCCTTTATAAGAATTTATATAGTCTATATATTATTATATTTTATAGCTAATAGGGTTAGAATTTATAGTTATAGAGATATTAGTAGCCGGCTAAGGAAAATCGCTTCTTTTAAAGCTTTTAAAAGAGCTAGTAGCTCTGCCTTTATACTTAAAGTTATAATAGTAGCTTACTTTAAAGCTTTCTAAGTAATAGTTCCTTTAAAAAGGGATATAATATACCTTTATAAGCTCTTTCTATCTAAGGAATTATCTATAAAGGATAAATCGCTTAAATAAAGGAAGATTTTAATAGCTATTTTCCTTCTCTACCCTCTTAGGCGTAGACTATATAATCTCGTTAAATAAAGATAAAGATTAGCTCTATCTAGTATATCTTAGTGCCTAGGGCTAGGATTCTAGTTATACCTAGCTAGCTAAGAGACTATAAAAGAGATATCCGGTCTAGTAAAATAGCTAAAGAAAGTAGGGAGCTTACCTTCTATTAATATCGGTGTTTCTCTTACTCCTTAGTTTAAAAGGACGGATTAAGTAAAAGCTCTTTATTTAATATAAGTATAAAGGGAAGCTTCTTCTTAAGGGAATTAGGGAGGAATTTATAAGCGACCTTATTAATATAGGCGTCCTAGGTAAGCTAGATAGTTTATTAGGACCTATTTTAAAGGATTTATATCCCTAGGAACTACTTTAGCTCCCTTAGCTTAGTTATCTTATACCTTTACTCTAAGCCTTTTATAGCCTCCCTAGTAGTTACTCCTTCCTCTTTTAGGTAGGCCTAGATAGTATTATCGATATAAAAGAAGACTATAAGTTTACCCTTTTATATTATATACGGTTCCTAAGGGACTTTATCGAAGCTTAAGGCTTTAAGGGAACCTAATAAATACTATTACTAAAGAAGGGGTAATCTTTATAGTTTATATAAAGCTTCCTTAAGCTATAGAACCTTTCCTAGCTTTTAAAGGCCTAGTTAAAAGTATATATAGATAACTTCTTCTTCTTTAAGGGGGTAGTTAATAAAAGCGTTAACGGTATCTATTTAATTAAGTTTAAGGTTAAATTCTACTACTATAGCTATAAGGGTCTAAAAAGATATCCTTACTAAGATAGTTATCTTAGTAGGTAGATCCTCTTTTTCTTATTAAATTTTATAGATAACTAGCTAGGCCTTATACTTTTAAAGGAAGTTATATTTATTAGTCTTATAAGTAAAGACTTACTTATAGCTAAGGACCTATTTTCCTCTTAACTTTTCCTTAAGGACCTCTTTAAAAGACCCTATCTCTTTATTTAAGGCTAGGTAGTCTTTCTAAGCCTAGAAAAACTAGTCTTTAAAGGGGTAACTTTATAGCTAGTTTTATATTACTAGTTAGTCTAGGAGGTCTCTTTTATATACCTTCCTTATTAATAGCTATAGCTTAAAAAGCCGGCCTACTATAAATACTTTATAGGAACTATCTTTTATAAGCGTTAGATAAAAGTTAGAAAAATAATTAGAATAAGAGAGTAGTTAGTCTTTTTTAGTAACTATATTAGGCCCTATACCTTTCTTTACTTCTTAAAGTAAGGATAAAAAGGTAGCTAAGTAATCCTTTAAAAGAGGTACTTTTCCTACCCTTTTAAAGGTTAAAATAAAAAGACTAATAGAAAAAGCTACTTTTAAATCTTCTTATTATATAGGAGGAGGTATTAGAACGTACGCGTATTCTAGCTCTACTACTTTCCTATAGTCTCCTTCTTTATCTAGATTATTTAATTTAATAGATTCCTTTTTTTCTTTAAAGTTAGCGTTATCTATAAGTACTTTAATATTATTTTCTTCTTTTATTTCCTTATCTAAGACCTCTTCTTAAGTCTATTAAGAAGAGGGGATTTAAATCTTTTAAATTAGCTAATATTATAAGAGTAAGAGGGGCTATTAATCCCTCTTTCTATCTAAGAAGCTAGATTTATCGAAAATAATATCCTTAGTTAAATTACCTTTTATAAAAAAGGAATCTAGATCTAAAAGATATTTATAGAATTATAACTAATAAGGTAACTAATAAAGGCTCTAGGATTATACTTTCTTTTCTTCTTTCTTTTTAGCTATATATTAATAGTTATAGCGTATACCTTATAGCTATAGGTATAAAGGTATGCTAGTAAGGCCCTCTTTTTTATAAAGAGCTAAAGAGGGGATTTCTAGTTTATTTCTTAGGTAATCCCTTTAACGGTCTAGTTCTAAAAGTAATAAGCAGTCTTAATAAGTTTCTTTTTATAAGAGTCTTTAACTATTATAGGTAATAGGCTTAGGCCGCGGCTTAAGCCGTATAGTTATATATAGAGGGCCGGATCCTATAAGTATAAGGGCGGGCTAGCCGTATATAAAAGAGCTCTATATAGCTTATTAATATTATCCTATAGACGGCACCTACGTATACGCCTCTACTAACTCCGTGATAGTATAAGCTATTAACTAATAGATCTAATAGATATCTCCCCGGAAAGGGTGCCGCTTCCTTAAGGGAGCACCCCGCTACCCCCTAGGCGGATAGGAAGTATTATAGCTATCCTAGAAGTAATTAAAAGCTCGACGGCTAGCGAGAAGAATAAGGTTCTCGCTATACTAAGGGAGCCGTCTATAAGACTAGCGTTAACCCCTACGACCTTAGTAATACTAGTTACGGCGGCGGCACTACTAATAAGGAAGCCGCTTCCTTAGCTAACTTAGGACGGTAAGCTTAAGTCCTTCTACTTCTTCCTTAGCTAGCTATAAATAAAGTTTATAATAGACGAGAAATAAGGCCTAAACGGCTATCGTAATATAGCGTGGTATTCGCTCCTCTATACGCTGCCGGAGCCCTAGATATAGCGGATCTCTAGATTCTAAGATAAGGGCGGCCCTAAAGGTAGACGCGACCTATAGGACTTCTTCTAATACCTTATATATACGTTCGGCAACGTATAAGAGCGGGAGAAGGCGTAGGATAGGCTACGGACCCTTAAGTAGAGGGATAGGTAGACCTTTAGCGAATTCCTCCCTAACTTCGAAGAGACGCTCTTATAAGTAGCGGGAACTATAGTATAGGAAGATAGCGCGAAGCTTATATAGTTATAGAACTCGATTACGCCGGCCTTATAAGAGCTACTTATCCCTATAATTATACCTACTAACTATAGCGAGTATATAAGCCGGTTAATAAAGGTAGTATAGGGCTATAAGTAGACGCCGCGTTTCTAGAAGCTTTATAAGCGTACGCTATATAGTAGTAATAAGATTACCGCCCCTTTATAAGAGGAATAGCTAACTATCGATACTAATAAAGATACCTTAA